GAGCAGAGACCATTACCATACACAGGTTTTTTATAGAAAGCAGTCATTAATGCTCCTTTATGGTGTCTCCTTAGTGCCAAAAAGGAAGCTTTTAATTTTGAAGAGCGACAGCCTGACTTACCTTATTTAATCCAATAGACTGGGGGTTTTTGTCGAACACATGTTTCCAAGTGGTTTCTTTTTTCTTTTCTTTTTTTTTATCTGCGACACACACACAAAAAAGAAAAAAATCACTGCTTAAGTCTGAGGGCTGCAATAAACTGCTTGTTGACCCCCCCCAGCCCCCCCACTCCTCTTCATGCTGTAGCAAACTTACAACACACTCAACCACAAACACATGATCATTGTTTGGGGGTCGTACGTTCGCGGTCTTTCTCTGATGAAGTCATTTCAAACTTTGCTCCCTTCTTCAGTGGGAGTTGAATCCGTCACTGAATTGTAACGGGGCTGCACATAAGTGGCATTTTGATTTATTAAGCAATATGAAGTATTGAGTATGTGGGGGCCCCCGTGCTTAGTCACTTCTTTATTTTCTATGCATGGAAACGTATGGCAATGATGAATTAATTTCACTCAAGCACAGAATCTGTGATTATTTTAAATGGTAGCCATATCTGGACTTGATCAGAGCGCCGTGAGTAGGCAGCAGACTGCTAAATGTAATTTTAATTTTTTTTTTTTTTTATATAAATTTTGATCCAACCCCAACCACTAAAATTCCTCCGTGCCACCTGGAGTGTGCACTGATAATAAAGTGGAACATCTGGGATCACAGATTTTACCGGTCACTTTTCTTTCCATAATCATATTGTCTTGAAAAAAAAAACAAAACATGTTTTGCGACTCATGCATAATTGATGGTGTAATGTGTTTAGATAGACAAAGCTCAGAGCGACCTCGCACTGTAAATGGATCGTCAGGAGCTTCTGAAGGGAACCGGTATCATGCTTGTTGTCTGTTAACAACAGTGTGAGTGTGAGTGTGAGTGTGGGAGAGAACATGTGTACACGTGTGTTAAATTCCCCAGTGTTTCCCCAGCAGACAGTTTTGGAGCACGGCAGACAGCTGTGTATTCCCACTAGATGGATGACCAGTGTCATAGTGTGTGTTTACTGCACATGATAGAGCGGGAGACAGGCCAGGTAATGAGGCTACATTTAGGGCTTTTAGAGCTCGCAAACAAAGATGGAGAGCTGCTCCTAAAAAACTTAATGATAGGTGTGTGTGTGTATGAGAGAGAGAGAGAGAGAGAGAGGGAGAACGAGGGAGAGTTTGTGTACCAGACGACGAAGGGCTGGCTTTCTTTCTCACACCTTTGTTGAATCAATTCTCGGATGATGGAAGAGAATGTCGTCCCCCAATCTTCAGGGCCAAATGTGTTGTCAAGACAGAGATTTGCCTAGTGTAAGATTCAAGTGTAAATATTTGCCCGTGCCGGAGAGAAAAAGCGACCAGGGGCCATGGTTGCGCGAGGAATGAGACAAAATCTGGGCTAGGTCTGAAGGCTGGCAAATAAAGCGTCTGTCTTTCTCTCTTTACTTTATTAGGGGAGTATCTTTCATCATAGCCAGCCTCCGCGTCGGCGTAGGACGGCCGCAGCTTTGTCTGCGTCTCTCGCTGTCTTCCCACCTCTTCACAACCCTAAACCCTCAGCGGCGGCAGCAGCAGCAGATAGTATCACTATCATCCTCCTCCTTTTCCAGAGCTATACGTCTGGAGATTTAGCAGCGTGTTACGAGGGCAGCGACAGCCTCCCTCTCCGTCTCCGAGGACGGTAATAAGTAGTCTGGGTTCTCCTTCATTGGAAGATTATGGTTTAAGGGAAACGGCATCAAACGGTGGGTGTGTTGAAATGCAGGACACCGGCAAATTATGGAATGTCAAACACACACACGTGTGGGCAAGCTGGCAGCCCTCACTCAGGCGGCATTGAACGCTGCCACCAGCGCCGACGAAGGCACACACACACACACACACATTAGAGCGCGGGCCTGGCTGGGTGTTTTAGCTGCAGGTGGCTTGGCTCCTCGCGACCTCGTCGGTTCAAGACGGGCTCGGTGGAGGTCGGGGCTGGTACACCTCAGGGAGCGAGCACAGGGTGTGATGAACTTGTGGTCTAGGCACACACACAAACACACACACACACACACACACACACACAACCAAATGTAGATTTACACACTTTTGCATACAGTCACACCCTCAGGAATATTGTCACTATCTGTCTCTCTTGATTATTGAGTTTCTTATTGAGTGTGTGTGTGTGTGTGTGTGTGTGTGTGAGCCTCTTTGTGCTTGTGACAGGTCCATCACCACCACCCCCCCCACCTCCCCACCCCCTCCAACACTTCACACACAGATCCACAGCTCAGTAGTGCCGTGCTCATCACCGCAGCCCGACTGTGTTTCTAATTGACATTCTAATTGGCAGATTTGAATGCCGCCTTTAGACGGCTAATTAATTTATCTCACCGCCGTCATTAAGGTTAAAGCACCATCTGATCTCCGCAAACACTTACTCGCATACATCTGCATTATCATTACGTCGCGGTCGAGCGTAGCGTGCACGATGCGAAGACTTTGTTTGTTTGTAGAAGAGGGCAGAAGATTTTAATGGATAAAAGTGCAATGTTTTTTCAGACCTGGATGGTTAAAAAAAAACAAAATTTAAAAAAAAATATTTATATATTTTTCTTACTTTTATCAGATTTGTTTTTTTAAATATACTCTACACAAAAGTTAATTTTGTGAATTTTGTCATTTACGTTACATCTCAGAATCCACATAAATATATATATATGTATTATATATGCATATATATGTATATGTAATATTGTGTATAGAATTAAGTAAAGAATGAAATAAAAAATTTAATCTCCATTATAATGTTCATAAAATGCTAGTAAAAGCAATCAGACAGTCTTTCTCTGAATATTTTAAACACTGGCCATGTAAAATTTATGCCTAATTTGAATACTTATTAGCCGGCTGATCTCCACTGCAGCCTTGAGTTTCTTATGCTGAGATTCATCACTGGATTGGATGTCACATTGACGTACCTCCCCCCCACCACCACCACCACCTTCTTCCCTCCCACACTTTCTCTCTCTCTCTCTCTCCACCTCCTGTGTTTGTCTCTTTCTCTCTTCCAACCTCACCTCTTCTTCTCTCTCTCTCTCCTCCTCCTCCTCCTCGTCTGCCTTTTTTTTCTGCGTCGCTCTCCATCAGCAGTGAGTGGCGTGGTGTTAAACAGGGGCCTGTTTGTTCACAACCATGCCTTGTCCTGGCCTCTTCCCTATTTACTTGTGTCCCGGGCAGCTGTCGCCCTGCTCTGTGTAACTGCTCAGCCCTGTTTGTTCTCGCTGGCTGGATCCTGTTTAGCCTGGCTGTAGACATCCTTAAAGGCCTCTGCCGTATCTGCCCCTTGTCAAACACACACACACACACGTACACACACATCGCAGGATCTGGACACACTTCTATTAAAACTGGCCAAACAATACAGGGGCAATAACCGTGTCCACAAATGTGCGCTCACATACACACACACAGAGTCGTCATCGTCATCTGTCCCTCTCTTTTGTTGCGTGTGTTATTACCTTATTGCTCTGGCGAACGAAGGGACGAAGCTCCTTCAAGTATTTGTACTGCAAGTAGTAAAAAATTGCAGGGGCCGAGTAGAAATGGAAACAGGAAGAAGTACTGATCGTGACAGGACTTTTATTATTATTATTTTTATTTTTTATGTTTTTATAGATCTCATCAGTTTCTGCGATTTATTTATTAATATCAAAATAATTATTTTTACAATGGAGAATCTGGAAACAACAGGACATGTTTCCGAGTTGCCGCATTTGTGTGTGTGTGTGTGTGTGTGTGTTGGACTTAATTTATTTATCGAGGAAGTGTCGACTGATGCTGCTTTGGGCTCATCTCTGCCCCAGTGAAAATACAGAGCATTAAATCCAGGGGAGAAAGAAAAATGATAAAACATTTATTACTGGAGAGAGAGAGGAGGTAATATGCATAATTTATGCTGTTTTTAGCACAATCATTAGTGATACTCTTGATAGATTTTTTTTTTTCCCCCATTCTTTCTTAAACATTGATTTCATGTCTGATAAATACCATGAACCTATTCCAGGATATATTTTACTGAATTTGAAACAAATTTTAAATATGAAAAAAAAAACAGCATTTTGAGATGATGGTTGTTTTTCAAAATCCACCAGAAAATTAAAGAGGATTGAACTTGAAAAAAGGAAACAGTCATTTTGCAGGTCTCTTTCACAGAAGCCTGTGAGGCAGATTTTATTATTTAGTAACAGCAACGATGACGAGCCTATTTCAGTGTTCATTCTACGCTGGGAAATTTGGCACCTCCCTTTTCCTCCTCCCAGCCCATCACCAAATTTTAATTTTGCATGATTAGCTCTGCGTCATTAGGCAACTTCATTCAGTTACGTCAGACTATTTAGGGGCAGTTTTTTTTTCCCTTCTGCTCTGCCTGTGGTGTCTTAATGTCTGAGAGAGTATCCTCAGTCACATACTTTGGTTAAATGGTTTTTTTATTATTATTATTTATACATTTCCAAGACATTACAAGTTCAAGGCTTTGATTAATAATTAGAAAATCCACAATTTTTGTAAATAATATAATTTGAAATATATATATATAAAATATATATATATTTGTATATATGTATTTAGGAACTCCTCCCATTTTGAACAGCACCAGGATGTGCATCTCTTTGTATTGCTTCATTTACACAATGAATGCATAATTGCTCCTCCTGCATCCCCCCTCGTCCCCCTTCTTTCTCTTTCAACCCCCCTCTCTCTCTTCTTTAAATGCTTTAATTTGCAGAGGGGGAGACCGAGGGCTTGATAATGGAAGCGTAACAAAAAAAAAAGAGGGAGAGAAAAAGAAATAGGAGGGAAGAAAAAGGGGGGAATTGTAAGAAGGAGAGCCCTAACTGGTGCCTCTTAATCACTTCTAGGTTTTAAATCATGATGATGCAGGAGTCGGCCACAGAGACAATAAGCAACAGTTCAATGAGTCAAAATGGAATGAGCACCCTAAGCAGCAGCCAATTAGAGGCTGGCAGTAGAGATGGGAGATCAAGCGCTGGTGACACGAGCAGCGAAGTAAGCACAGTCGAGCTGCTGCATCTGCAACAACAGCAGGTAAGTTGTGTTTCTCCCCCGTCTCGTCTCTCTCTCTCTCTGCCTCACTCTCACTCTCTCTCATGCTCTCACACTCAGCTCCCCCTCCTCTCTCACTCTCTCTCTCTATCTCCCGCTCTGTTCTGCCCTGCTCTCTCTTCAGGCAGCTCTGGAGTTTGTTTTTTTTTTCTGCCAAACCAGTAGTAGCTCTGAAATTTGTTTTTTTGGGAGTATTTTTTTGTTTGTTTGTGGATTTGAATCGTGTGTAAACAACCTTGTTTAGACAGTTTTACCGGCTGTTTGTGTTTGTGCCTGCAGTGTGAGAGAAGTATTTACAATATTCAAGTGACAGTTTCAGTTGTTTACCGTGTTTTTCTTGGGTATTTTGGCGTATTGTTGCAGTTGCTTAAGTGAAAGAGTAAAGAGTTAAGGATGTGTCTGTGTGTGTGTGTGTGTGTGTGTGAGAGAGAGAGAGGCTGAGTGAAGCAGGGAAAATGTGTGTGTGTGTGCGTCAGAGCATACTGTATGTTTGAGTTGTGTATGCATGTGTATTATTTTTTTTTGTCTGTCATAGCAGTGTTGTATCCACCAGAGGGCCTCCTAATTCGCCATTGGTTGAAGTCTCAGACACATGCAGAGACGTTACCCTCAACTCACACAGCACAGGAGAAATGTCAGGGCATGCACTTTATATATATATGTATATATATTTAGATATATATTTTATTTTATTTTTAGGTGAAATACACTGAATTCGCTACATTTGCGTTGCTTTTATTTAAGCAACATGGATTAAAAATATTCTTTTTCCCTATTGTCAAAAACAGAAGTGTCTGACAGAAGAGATTCTGGTCTCCTCTGTCAGACTAAGTTAAGGTTGAACAAAATACTGTCGGGTGTGTGTGTATGTGTGTGTGTGTGTGGGGGGGGGGGGGGGTGTCGTGGGGGTAGCTGAGGGCAGGAGCTGTGAAAAGTCAGCCACCAGCAGAGCAAAAGGAGTCGAGTGTCTCTCGTGTCTTTTCGCTGTGAATGATGGCTTTGACAGTTCGCCAAAAGAGCAGTGGTAGACGGGGTCAAAGGGTCAGAGTGCTCCGGGGTGGACGAGGGACAATGGTACCAGGTTCATCATGAAGAGTGAAGCCCTTCAGGGCCGGACAGGGGATTTTTCATGCACGCGCATACACTTGTGTTCTTCTGCTGCCCATGTGTTCATGGTAGCAGCTAAAGCCCCCCCCCCCATGAGGTCAGGTTGGTCGGGTTAACACAATAGGCGCCGATGTGTTGATGTTTTCTGGTGTGTGTCTTTGTGTGTGTGTGGGGGGGGGGACGACATCCCCCCCCGTCTTCTGGTCTTTTCTGTTCACGTCTGAATGTGTTAAAAAGAGCTGGAAAACATCTTCAAACATGTTCTATTGTGGTCTAGAGTTGAAACAGTAGTGTTTGATGGCTGCTTCAGCAGTCAGTAAGTCATGAAGAGTGACAAAGTATCGGATAAAAGAATGGAAACTGTGTTATTGTGGGGAAAAGCCAGTGTCTAGTTAGATCCCTGAGACGGACACGTGGCTACGAGAGGAGAAGTCCACCGTGGTGGGTGAAGTGAGGGTGTGGGTGGGTGAGGTACGTGTGGAGGAGGGAGGGGGAGAAGGATGGGTGACAGTATGCACCGTGTAAAAGGGGCCGGTCCAAAGCCTTTTCCGTACCCAAAGACAGACACATTGAAACGAGCAGTCCAGCTAACAGGTCTCTGGAGGCTTTTTAAAACAGGGGCCCGACGCTGTTAACTTCACACGCACTTCCTGTGGCGTGCGCACACGGGCATCTCTTTGCAAAATGAGCGTGGCCCAAGTAGGATTTTTTTTTTTTTTTAACAGTTCATCTGTCAGCACCATGAAGAAGTGCTGTTATTCACATGCTACAGTTTTTTTTTTTTTTTGAGGAAGGTGATTGGGATGTTGACAGGTCTGTGTAGGTGAATGGCACTCTGTGTGTGTGTGTGTGTGTGTGTGTGTGAATGATGGATATTATGTGGTCCTATATGCATGTGTCCATCCGTGCTTGGATTTTTTTTTTTTTCTTTCCCTGTCTCTCTTTTTGCACCTGTGTGCCATAATAAATTCCAGCCCATGTCTGCTCTTAGTGCATTTTGAAGGAAGGCTGTTGGGTTTAATTTCCCAGCCACATTTGGAATGACATTGAGTGGTCCAGTGGGTATAGAAGCTGCAGTCTCTCATCACGCTGCTGGGGGGATGATTAATAATAAGCACTGATGAATTCTCCACTGTCCCTGTGGGTTGTGCCATTACCTAGCAGCTCCAAAATACCACCTGCAGCTATAATTAGAAAAGCAGCATCTTAAGGTCTCGTTGCCTCAGATTCGGCCACAGGCTTGTGGGACACAGATCAAGTCCGAGGAGCACAAGAGCAATTATTTCTATATTCAAATCATGATCAGGGAGATGTCGACTCAAAATAAATGATGCACTCATTTTAACTTTTATCCCAAGTAGTATTTTCATATGTTGTAATTTTTGTGTGTGTGTGAGACCCACACACTCCATTATCCATGCATCTAAAGTCCACAGCCATCGTGTCACAATTGAATTTCCAGCCTCTAATTTCTGTTCGGGGTTTCACCACCCCGGCTCCCAAGGTTGTCTAAATAGACCTAATTTGATTTGAGATCACAGATTAGATACTCACTGTATCTGATTGCAATTTGCCAGCTACAGATATGTATCAGAGCAAATGATGAATGTTACACAACCCTAATTACTATGCTAAATGGTAACTATAAAAGCAGCCTTGTTAAAGAAAAAAAAAGAAAAAGAAAGAAGAGAGCAGCCTTGTTAAAGAAAAAAAAAGAAAGAGAGAAGGGGTTAGCCAGAAATATGCTAAGGTTTTATTCCCAATCATTTTATCATCAGCCCTAGAAGGTTTTTTTTTTTATGTTAATATCGTCTGCTGGTGTGTATGTGTGTGTACGCGGGGCGAGGGGGCGCCATTGATCTTTTGGATCCATACCATAATGTCCATAATGAGGCTGTTAGTTGATTACAGTGGTCTGTAGACTTAATCCTGCCGGGGTTATCGGTGGGATTGATGAGCCAATTCTCGGGACCACTGCCCCTCTAAATGGGCTCACCGCTGTAGGAAGTGTATCGATGTTCAGCACCAGACTAAGGTTCTTGTGAGTGTGTTTCTTCTGGCTTTGTGTTCATTTAAAAAAAAAAAAAAAAAACGTTTAACCGGTGTCGAAAGTTTCATCTGACCCTGGGTTCTTTTGGCTCCAAAACCCAGAGTTATCTGCACGTGTGTGTGTGTGTGTGTGTGTGTGTGTGTGTGTAGCAGAGGTTGACATGTTGGTAAACCATGCTGGGTGTGCATTTTACTGTTTTCCTGAGGCACATGATACAGCAAAATGCAAACTACCCGGGCCCATTTAAATGACTGAGGCAGTTTGACAGGAATTACAATGAATGCGCCGAGGTGCCATCTTTCTTCTAGGCTACCCCTGTCGCTACACGAGAGCTAGGCAGTGGTCCAACTTGAGAGTGACAGCAATTAACCTGCCTTCTGAGCTGTTTAGCTGGAGGAAACAGAGGGGATGAGAAATCTGACAGCCGGTGATGGGTAATATTTAGGCTTTAGGGGCAAATGAAATTTTCCCCAAAATGAAAGTCATTAGGGAGAAAGTTACCACAGACCAATGACAATATGTGTGTGTGTGTGTGTGTGCACTTACGTTGTAGACTCACCTCTCCCTTATTACAACGCAAGTTTGTCGTTAAGTCTGTCTGTAAATAATCTGATGTGCCGCGTTCATCCATCTCCTCCCACAAACAAGCCTCCAGCATATTCCTCCCCGTGCCCTTCACCTGCATCTGTCTTTCTGTTACACGCGCTCACACAAAAGATGCAAATCTAGGCTTTGCCCTTGAGCATAATTTAAAGGCCTAATCACCCAGACTGTCCCTTTGGATAGAGAGCGGGAACGAGGGAGGGAGAGAGGTGGAGAGGGAGGGAGGGAGGGAGGGAGGACGCTCTCTCTCATTTGCACCCTTACACAAAGAAGCTCATTAGGTTTATCTTTCAGGCCTGAGATTGCCCCACTCAACTGTGTAAATAAGACACCAGCTCCGGCCCAATGCATCAATCACCTCTTAGGACAAGAGAAAGACCTGTCCTGAAATATGAACAATTCCATAAAGGAGCCCTTTTGTTAACCACCGTCGTCCCTGTAAAGGCTGGAGAAGTGGTGGAGGAGAAGCAGCACCTGTGAAATGATTTCTTCCACCCGGCTTTTCATTGAAACTATATTTCCGGCAGAGCTCCTTGTGTCTGACTTATTTACAATGAAGAGCCATTCTTCTTTTTATTTCCAGCCTGACATTGGACAGTCGCTCCCTACAGGGTAATACATACAGACCTGTGACATATAGGTCTGTAGTCCCCCCCCCCCACCCCCCT